TGATGTTAAAAGAGCTCCAAGAATTTCGATCTCACAAACCCATGATGGGAACAGCGTAATCATCAAGGGCGAGGTCAACGGAATGCCGTGTAAACTGACCACAGATTCGTTCACACCTCTACTAAACGGAAAATGGTTAATTTTACCACCTTGCAAGGCGGGGTTATGAAGAAACAACGCAAAGACTTTAGTTATCTTCGTAACAGTCTTTAGAAGTTCACTGCTGAATGACATGTTCCTCCATAGATTGCCTCATAGAGGAAATCGATTTTAGTTGCAACGAACCGCATGTTTTTGATATTTTGTGTTGTAATCAGTAAGATGCTGCTGCCTATGTCCGGTTTCAGGTTCCCCCTATCGCCTCTTATGACACCCAAGGGGATATATAGGGTAGTGGATGTTCATATACCACCACTAAATATGTTCCTATAGTGATTTCTTATGTTTACGCGAACACTACACATTAAAATAATAAAAATAATAAAGTTTTTACGGATTTTATCGCGTATATTAACTTTTTTATAAACCCAACGTTTCGGGTTTACAAAAAAAGATTAAAAAAAACTATCTGTGGTAACCGCGGTTAACTATGACATCTGGACGTTGAACATCTCAGTCCCCCTCGTGACCATGGGTGCTGTAAAGTTCTACTCGAAACGTCGGGTATATAAAAAAGGTTAATATACGCGATAAAATCCGTAAAAACTTATATTGTTTAAATAAACACGCTTCTGTTACGTTCGAAACGACTTATGTTTCTGCAATATTAAAATACGCTAGGGCTTGATTTTTTTATAAAATAAGGGTGACAAGCGAGCACACAGTTTACCTGATGGTAAATAAATGCTATGGCTCAAAATAATCTACATACATCCACGATTAAGAAACAAATTGCAGAATGCGTTGTCACCCGTAAGGACTAAGATGGATAGCCTCGTTACCATTAATAGAGTTTTAGAGTTATATATATATATATATATATATATATATATATAAGATAGTTAGAGATTTGTTTGATTGAAAAACACTAATAAGATCTTGGATCTCGGAACATTATTAGACATATCAGTTGCCGTCTGTTATAGGGTATCCGGTTCCCCTCTACACTCACCATACGAAAGTACGAAACACGGCAAAGCCAATCCATACCACCCCGGTTAAGCCGACTCATTCCTGCTGCAGCTTTAATATAAATGCAGCATGACTCTACCACGTTAAATATATTAAATTAATATAATGGAATATTCCTTTACGTGGGTACTTGCGCGAAAAGAAATAGACATTTAAATGCGCTGAAGGTAAATAAGTAAATTTAAACATCAAAGTATCGATCGAAATCGCCATGCAATAAATTTAACCTTATAGTTTAATGAACTCATACTTACGTCATTCAAGCGATGCGTAATTAGCTCGAATCTATATTTTCTTGACAATGTCCTTGATTGTGTCAAAAAGAGATTTAATGCGAAACTGTAAAATTTCTTTCTTGTAAACTTTTTATGAAATACTTTACTATACTGTCTGTAAAAATACTCTTTAATCTTGTTTATTAAAGAGTATTTTTTTACAGAATAAGCAAGCAAATATGGGGATTGTTACGAAATTGGGAATAAAATATTTTGGATATTGTAATACTCATTATCATTTACTAACATTATGTACATAATTATAAGTTAAAAACATTTATTGAACAAGATCATTTTTATTACTACAAAAAATACATTTATAACTGCCAAATATTTTCGTGACACTTTCTTTTGTATTTGCATCCATTTGTATATGGGTAAGCAATTTATTAAAAAAAATTGAGGGAAACATAAGACCGTTATTTAAATTCAACTTTAGTTTGTAACTTATATTGTAACTAAAGAGTAGAGTAGTTTAATAAGTACAATAAAACACGCTAGCCTCATCCGCATGTATTGTACAGCAAACTCAGTGGAGTGCGCTGGCACACGTTTGCGCCGCCCACTTTCCCGCAAGGTCCCCGCCGTTGCCCTTGCTCTGCACTGCATTCGTTTCCCAACTGTTAGACTCTTTTAACTGTGCTATATAGTTAGTATCAAAAAGTCATTACATTTTGGTTAGTACATTCTTCAAAAGTAAATAAAATATCATAGAATGGTGTGTCAAAATAATTAAACAATAGTAAACAAATACAAATATAATATTCAAATACAATTATAATATAAAATTCAATAAGCTGAAATGGCAATAAGCCGGCCATATATCACTAACAATTAACAAGGAAAGTTAGGGAAAGTTTCTCAAGAAAGATTCTCAAGTAGCACCGAAAGGCGAAGTATAGAGCAGCAGCCTTCCGATGGAGTAACGATCTGGTAGGAAATGTAATAATATAAAAAATCCTGCTTTAATAAAATATCGATACTAAATTTATGTGACATTTCGCAGGAAGTTATAATCAATTCAACGCCTAATATTGTTCAGTGGGTGTTGTATCGCTTCCAACTTTAATATTATAGAGGTCGTTAATGAATATCAAGAAGAGAATAGGTCCGAGTATGCTACCCTGGGGCACACCGTAAGATATAGAAAGTTCATTACTCCTATCTTTACTCTTTAAGTCTGGCCTGAAAGGTAGCTACGGAAATATTCGAGTTGAGAACCCCTGATACCTATATTTTCTAGTTTTAATGAGAGAGTAAGCACGATGAGCAGCGTCAAAATTGTGTAAAGGATATTTGGTACTGCGATCGTCAATCTACTTGCTTAGCGTGACATGACAATTAAAGCAAATACAAAAGGCTATGCCCAAAATTAGAAGAACAGTTTTTTAAGATTGGTCTTTATGTAAGTACTCGTAAGGGTAAAAATCGAGCTCTCAGTCAACCTAACGGTAAGTGGATGTAATGGCCTATAGACACCTACTTAACCTCGATTAAGAACTTTTTTATAAACCCAACGTTTCGGGTTTACAAAAAAAGATTTAAAAAAAGAACTATCTGTGGTAACCGCGGTTAACTATGACATCTGGACGTTGAACATCTCAGTCCCCCTCGTGACCATGGGTGCTGTAAAGTTCTACTCGAAACGTCGGGTATATAAAAAAGGTTAATATAAAAAACGCGATAAAATCCGTAAAAACTTATATTGTTTAAATAAACACGCTTCTGTTACGTTCGAAACGACTTATGTTTCTGCAATATTAAAATACGCTAGGGCTTGATTTTTTTATAAAATAAGGGTGACAAGCGAGCACACAGTTTACCTGATGGTAAATAAATGCTATGGCTCAAAATAATCTACATACATCCACGATTAAGAAACAAATTGCAGAATGCGTTGTCACCCGTAAGGACTAAGATGGATAGCCTCGTTACCATTAATAGAGTTTTAGAGTTATATATATATATATATATATATATATATATATATATATATATATATATATATATATATATATATATATATAGATAGTTAGAGATTTGTTTGATTGAAAAACACTAATAAGATCTTGGATCTCGGAACATTATTAGACATATCAGTTGCCGTCTGTTATAGGGTATCCGGTTCCCCTCTACACTCACCATACGAAAGTACGAAACACGGCAAAGCCAATCCATACCACCCCAGTTAAGCCGACTCATTCCTGCTGCAGCTTTAATATAAATGCAGCATGACTCTACCACGTTAAATATATTAAATTAATATAATGGAATATTCCTTTACGTGGGTACTTGCGCGAAAAGAAATAGACATTTAAATGCGCTGAAGGTAAATAAGTAAATTTAAACATCAAAGTATCGATCGAAATCGCCATGCAATAAATTTAACCTTATATTTTAATGAACTCATACTTACGTCATTCAAGCGATGCGTAATTAGCTCGAATCTATATTTTCTTGACAATGTCCTTGATTGTGTCAAAAAGAGATTTAATGCGAAACTGTAAAATTTCTTTCTTGTAAACTTTTTATGAAATACTTTACTATACTGTCTGTATCCTTTAATCTTGTTTGATTAAAGAGTATTTTTTTACAGAATAAGGGTTACCAAATGACCACACTATCCTCTTGATGGTATGTGGATGCTATGGCCCATAGACATCCACATCTACCATCGATTAATAATAATAATGCAGATGCGTTGCCACCCCCGAGGATTAAGATGAAATGCCTCGTTTCCAGTATAAAGAGTCTCCGGTTCTTTTCACTCACAATTAGGGTTGCCAGATGAGTCGCGAAAAAAATACCGGACAACCCCAAACGGGGGGGGGGTGTAAGCTAGTTCGAACAAAATACGGGTTTTTTTGTACTAATAGTTTTTATTTATTAATCTACATCACATAAATCAACTTAATTAGTAACAAAATATAATGCAGTCATAAAATTGTGGTCGCCAAGACTATGCTTACTTTGAGAAAGTCTTTATTAAACAATGGTAATAGTATTATAATCTACTACTTACTTAACAAAATAAGGGTAGGAACTTCAGAAAAAAATAAAATCACCTAAAACTAGATAGGTATGTTTAACAAAAATAATAGGAACTTCCAATTAACAAATAATAAAGTTGAATCATTCTTCTAAAACTAATTTATGTTTGAACCTACTTTCTTCTTTTTAACATATTTTGCATTTGACGCAACCGCTTTTAATAGTGTTTTATTTGATACAACACGTTCTTTAAAATCAGTGCAGCTCGAGTTTATGTTGAAAAAAACACACAGTTCACTTTTCACAGTCTCTAGACCAAGGCGGTTTCGTTCATTGGTCCATAGATTCCCCATCACACTGAAAATGCGCTCGACGAAGGCGTTCGATACAGGAATGCTGCATACATGTTGAACCAATTTGAGAAGATTTGGCGCTGATTCTTTACTAAAAAAGCTGCACCACATATCCACTGACTTTCCCTCCAGGGACTGGTAAACACTACTAAGTATAGCCAACTCTGAGTAGAGTGCTTCCGGTGGAGTGTCGTTGCTTCTCGTTAGAGTCCACAATTCAATTAGTTGGTCCAGAGTTGGTACACCGCGTTCAAGGTCCAAGCAACTGAAGCTTCTGAACACCGAGTTTTCGAACTGGAACCACTTTTCCAAATAAGCAACAGCTCGTTGATAAGCAATCAGGGCGTGTTTTTTTAAACTCCTGTGTTTCTTCATCCGATAGGTACTTTTTATTCATGGCCATACGCACTTTCATTCCGAAGTGTTCATCATAAATTTTTTTCACTATTGTGTCCCGGAATTGTGTCATAATACTGTGTAGACTAAAAGCTAATGTGTCGTTATTTTCCAGTAATAGTAAAACTTCCTGGAATGACGCCATGAAGTTGTGCGTGAAGTATAGATAGAGTTCAGTATAAGTTGGGTTCGTTTCTGTTGTGGGATTATCTTTTTGGTCTTTTATAATAGCCCATATAGCCGGTGAACAATTATTGACGCCTAGTTCGAGAAAGTATTTTTTTAACGGCCCCCACGATGACAAAACTCTATCCAGGGCTTTGAACAAGCTTAACCACCTAGTGGGTACATGGCGAAGGACCTCTTTGAATTTACTTTCATAAAATTCGAAGCACTCTTTCAGGTCTTGTCTCTTCTTTGCTGCATGGGGAAATTCTGAAAATGTTTTCAGAACGATGTTGTCTACGTCAACTGGCAACATCTCCATCATCATCAACAGTTACTCTGCTCCAAGAAAGATCTGCTTCTTTCTACTACTCTTCTACTTTGGACAGGTGATTTTTTATAGATCGCGAGTCTTCGAATGGATCTTCGTAGAAATCTAAAATTTTTCGGCACATTCCAGATTTTGCTGTAAAATACTGAACGGCAACTGGGAACAACTTCTTGTTTCCTTTATTCGACACATCAGTAGCGACGGAAAAAGGCCTAACTTCTTTCAAATCCTCTTGGACCAGTTCCATTGAATAAGTTTACAGAACTTGATTCACAATGGCAGTGCATTTGGTGCGCCCTCCGGTCATTTATTTCACGATTTCCGAATCTGTGATGGTTTGTTTTCTGACCTTTAATGAACAATCTTGAGCCAAATAGGAGATGTGATGTTTTACAGAGTGAAAAATATCTGCTAACTCGGCAAGGCTTACTTTTTCACTCTGTGCGCTTCCTTTAGGCGTAAAGAAAGAGTCCATTCTTTGGGACTTGGCTTGCGCACTTTCCGCCTCTTTATGCTTTTTTGTAGAGGCATGCTGGTTTACCCCCTTCAAAACTTCAGCCACAGCAAATTCATTTCTACAAATTTTACAGTAAGCTCTAGTGTCGACGTTGGCTTTAGTTATCCAAGAATATTTATTTTCCCAGTCTTTATTATAATGGCACATTCGTCTTATTTTCTTTGGCGGTGTTGCAGAACTGGTGGAAGCTTATTCTTCCTCCATTTTCCATTAGCTTTGTGTAAAACTTAACAAACAGTCAAAAACACAAACATACACTCAACTTCGACGAACAACTTTGCTTGTTTCAACGAGTAGGTACTTAGGTCAACTGCGTAACACTCCCGAACGTTGCGTAATCTAATTATCGACTAGGTAAACAAAACTCGAAAAATCAAAACAAAACACACCGGACGCGCGCGGGTGGGGGAGTGGACGCAGGCAGCGAGTACGAGTGAGTGAGACGGGTATACAGTGGTGAAGTGAGAGCCCGCAGACGCAGATACAAACAGCGAGCGAGGAGCGCGCGCGAGTTTTGCGTTTTAGGGATTTCATATGCCTACTTTTGTAGGCGCTTGTGACCAGTAGTACCGACTTTCCTCAAAATACCGGACATTGTTCTGTCCGGTATGACCATTTATATTTTACCGGACAGGCCTCGAAAATACCGGACTGTACGCTTAAATACCGGACATCTGGCAACCCTACTCACAATACGGAACACAGCCGCATTGAATTGCTCTTTTACGCTGTTATCCTGTGTGAGCGTGGTTCTTCCTCGTTCGAGCCGACCTGTTCGTGCTAACAATAATATAGCTGCAGCATGGCTCTACCACGTATAAAATTACAGTATTCAGTCAGTGCTGTGCATATGTGACACCCTTAATTTTCAGATCTATCATACTAAACATCATTCTTACAAAAACTTGGAACGCTTAAATGTATATAAATTCCTCTACGTTTTTGTGTTCATATGACACCTATTTTAAGCATTTTAGAGAGCAATGTATGAAAAATTGGCAAAATTTGTGGAGCACTTGTATCTACCGGCATATGTACTTACGTTGTAGAGCGAAGTTAAATTTTATCAACACTCATTCCGACTTCAGGGTGAGCATCACGCACCTCGGAAAGTGTCCCGAAGCGCGTTTTTTTCCAGTTTTAAAGAAATCTGTACAAGATACATGAAAAGTGCGTCAATACAAAATTATCTTTGATAAATTTGATATCAATCTCTTATACACACAAAAGCAATATCGCTTCATTTATAGATTTTTTTGATTAAAGTTTAATTTTCTCAAATATCCCATTTGACCGCCAATATATGTATCAGTATAATAAAGAATAGAATATGCTTTTTAAAAAGAGCTATTACTTATTTAAATTCCTATATACCACGTTGCTATGTTATTTTGAAAATTTAGTTGACTCGGTCATTCAGCGAAATATAGCAAAAAATCGAAAAATTAAGATGAGTATAGATTGTATAATATTGCGTACAATATTTAAAAAAGAGCCCTTTGTTTTATTTACTGGTTCTTTCCAAGACAATTTTTTTTTCCTAAACCAGTAGTAAAAACGTAAAAGACTATCAACAAGTAGTACTTGTCATCTATATTGAATAAAAAATCTACATGCAGAGGCAGACGTTTTTCATTTTGTAGTTGTTATAAGGAAGACGATGCTGCCCATCTCCTGGGCTGTTTCCCTTTTCCACTGCATAGTTATTTCATCCAGCTTCCAAGGATATTCTCAATTAATTAATCCTATCATGTTATTTATTTATTTATTTAAAAAATATGTTATCACGAAGTATATGGTTTCAACTTCGTATTTAAGTCCTAGAAATGCTATAAATAGCACGTATAACTTATACGTCGCAGCACGTAACTCTAGCGCTGAACGAAACATGGAGGGGATAGCTGCGAATGTCGTATTAGTACGGGGGACGGAATACGACTGAGAGCCAATCACCGCGTGGAAACAATACGCACAGCCAATCATGCGCAATAATGCGCAACACGGCCAATTATGCGCAATAATGGTCACTACTTGACTGTCGTGCCGCGAGTTGTAAAGTAACATTCGGAGATAATTAGATACCTATTCATATACTTGTTACGTAGGCTCCGTTTTGGCAACGGTAGTGACGGCTGGTGTGAACGTATTTAATAATATATACTTACACTTACGTAACAACGAAACGTAAAATGAAATTATTGTTTACGTAATTTATTATCTTACTAGCTTTTCCCTCGGGGTCAAGTAAGGGCTGGAAATGACAGCCTCGTTAGTCTTGTGGTTGTAAACGTGGTTACTATCCATGAAGTACCGAGTCCGTTTGTCCCCTGGTTCGAATCCTAGATCGAACCAAAATCAGTTATTGGGTTTTTCTAACAATACATTCTCAGTAGCAGCCCGGAGTCAGCAAATTGGTGGTGTTTCACCCCCGTGGCTTGGAAAGCACCTATAGCCATAAGACCTGCACGTGATCTCTCTCCGATCGTATCGCTTACCGTCCCATCGGACTATGAGAGTGAGGGATTAGTACACTTCTGCTTGTGCATATACACGGGCACCATTATCCTGCCCTGTGCAGATAGCTATTTTCCATTAAGGCTGGTCGCCGTGACAAAATGGCACCTGCTCTGAATGACGTTAAACATCAAACTAATTTTCTTATTAGTGCATTTAATTGAAATCACCATTGTCTTCGTAGACAGAACAACGTTGTCGCATATAGTTAGTTAGTTGGTGCCATGTCGTATAATTGAACCCTGGTAGCTCCGGGGCATAGGCGCTTGCTGTAAATTCGAGCGATGCTCGCCGTCAACAAATAATTTTTATTTGAATTTTCAGTGCTAATTTAACACGAACTCAGCAGTGAAGAAAAAACATCGTGAGGAAACCTGTCAAATTGTGCGGTATGTCTGAGTTATTAAAAAAATTCAAGACATGTGAATTTTTTTTAATAACTCAGACATGACTATGTGGCGGACACACGTAATGGGCCAGCGCGGTGGACATTTCCTTGCCCTAAAATCCTTTAAGAAATGAGAAGAGATCTTTATATACACAGTTTAAAGGGATAACAGTTGAGAAACGCCTTTGATGTCCCGCATAACCACCTCTGATATTAAACCGGCGATGCCCGTGTAGGTATTTACTATTTATGTCGTCGTCATCGCAAATATGGGGATTGTTATGAAATTGGGAATAAAATATTTTGGATATTGTAATACTCATTATCATTTACTAACATTATGTACATAATTATAAGTTAAAAACATTTATTGAACAAGATCATTTTTATTACTACAAAAAAATACATTTATAACTGCCAAATATTTTCGTAACACTTTCTTTTGTATTTGCATCCATTTGTATATGGATAAGCAATTTATTAAAAAAAAATTGAGGGAAACATAAGACCGTTATTTAAATTGAACTTTAGTTTGTAACTTATATTGTAACTAAAGAGTAGAGTAGTTTAATAAGTACAATAAAACACGCTAGCCTCAACCGCATGTATTGTACAGCAAACTCAGTGGAGTGCGCTGGCACACGTTTGCGCCGCCCACTGCCCCGCAAGGTCCCCGCCGTTGCCCTTGCTCTGCACTGCATTCGTTTCCCAACTGTGACTCTTTTAACTGTGCTATATAGTTAGTATCAAAAAGTCATTACATTTTGGTTAGTACATTCTTCAAAAGTAAATAAAATATCATAGAATGATGTGTCAACATAATTAAACAATAGTAAACAAATACAAATATAATATTCAAATACAATTATAATATAAAATTCAATAAGCTGAAATGGCAATAAGCCGGCCATATATCACGAACAATTAACAAGGAAAGGTAGGGAAAGTTTCTCAAGAAAGATTCTCAAGTAGCACCGAAAGGCGAAGTATAGAGCAGCAGCCTTCCGATGGAGTAACGATCTGGTAGGAAGTGTAATAATATAAAAAATCCTGCTTTTATAAAATATCGATACTAAATTTATGTGACATTTCGCAGGAAGTTATAATCAATTCAACGCCTAATATTGTTCAGTGGGTGTTGTATCTCTTCCAACTTTAATATTATAGAGGTCGTTAATGAATATCATGAAGAGAATAGGTCCGAGTATGCTACCCTGGGGCACAACGTAAGATATAGAAAGTTCATTACTCCTATCTTTACTCTTTAAGTCTGGCCTGAAAGGCAGCTACGGAAATATTGGAGTTGAGAACCCCTGATACCTATATTTTCTAGTTTTAATGAGAGAGTAAGCACGATGAGCAGCGTCAAAATTGTGTAAAGGTATTTGGTACTACGATCGTCAATCTACTTGCTTAGCGTGACATGACAATTAAAGCAAATACAAAAGGCTATGCCCAAAATTAGAAGAACAGTTTTTTAAGATTGGTCTTTATGTAAGTACTCGTAAGGGTAAAAATCGAGCTCTCAGTCAACCTAACGGTAAGTGGATGTAATGGCCTATAGACACCTACTTAACCTCGATTAAGAATCAATATACAGATGAGTTGTCCGACCAGAGGACGAAGTTGGAATGCCTCGTTACCAGTTAAGACGACTTTAAGTCACTCACCATTAGACAGCTACGTGTCTGCATCACATTATTATGAAGCATAAATTCTGTAGTTATGAATGTATTTTTTGTATTGATAATCATGTAATATTACATCACCAACATGACACGTGCTATTGTCTTCTTGTATAATGACTTAAGCACGTCTTGTTTGACAA